AGACACATACATGACGCCATCACGCGCAGACTTGAATTGAATATATTTCTAAACTTTTATTTTTTAGTGCAATTTCATGTGTAGATCCACAGCTACTCTGACAATGTTGCGTCACAATTTGTCATCATAAAGGACAGAGATATAAAACAAGCCAATTTGGTTTAAATATTCGCATTTTCTTGGGATATGTGCATATATGAAGTTAGAGTGTATCATTCTCTCCATAGAACATAGTAATCACCACATAACAAGGACAAATTAACAGAACTCACAATATAGACGGCTTACGATGGCATCAACTGAATATGAGGTAAAGCTATGGCACTAGACTCACAAATTTACAGCTCGAGTAAGATACACAACCCCTCAAGCATGTAGTGCTTAAACGATAATCGTGTTTTAAATAAAGGATTTTTTACTTATCTGCAGGTAACTTCTGTTCTAATTTAATTCTGGCTTTCCGCGCTAATACATTAGTTTACAATCATTGCGCGAAGACTTCTAATTGTGAGCACAATGTCCGTAGCTACATCAGTTTAACATTTACTTTAATATTATTTTATCTTGACTCATTAACCACGCCGCATCAATTACGGGGACAACGATCTTCCTATAATTTCAGGTGAGAGTTATAGTTTTGGAATTTCGCATTTCAAAATAGATTTGTAGTACACGTCTTTCTCACCTTTATCGCCTTTTTCTCCTTTTGGTCCTTGATTTCCCATGATACCTTGCTTGCCGTGTCTACCTGGTAAACCCATGATGCCTTGCACTCCCTTTTTACCCTTGGCACCTTGCACCCCTCGTCTTCCTCGAGAACCTTTGCTTCCTTTCTTACCAGGAGGGCCTGGGACGCACACTTTCTCCAATGGCTGACACAGTGATGCTGGTTTGAGTTTACTGAACCGTTTGGCGATTTCATTACGGACATCTTCTATGCTGAGAGATTTGTTACTGACTGAGATCAAGCTGCGGCGAACTTTGGTGTTCGTTGTCTTTTCGGAATCTGTAAGAAACAGGACATGAAAATAATAGGCTACGTGCAGACCTCTATGATTCCTTTTAGGGAAATAGTCGACGAATGCCAGTTGGCTTGTTTGACTCTTTTGATTTCAGACATTACGTATGAAACCCGTGGCGGTATGCCAAATATTTCACTCCTTTTACCCAGCTAAAAATAAATGGATATCTATACATCGTGACTTATTTAGAGCCTTTGAACGTCGCTCTATTGTGTTAAATAACGAAAATAAAAGTCACGGTGCGTGCATGAAGAACAAATTTCCGTTGTTTTACTATCAGTGATACACGACGATGGATCAGTTTAATTTCAGTTTTGCCTGATCAGTAAGTACCGTATAGTAAACACACTTTCCGTAATTTGATCAGTCACGTATATCAACATGGAATCTCTCTTCTGCTGAAAATAGATCACAACGAAGAAGAAATTCAGTTCAAAGACATCTCGCTGTATTA